TGCTGCCTTTATAACGTTTTCGATCGCGCACGATCGATCGGTTCTTCAGCCACATAATAAAGGGGAATTTTAAACATATGTGGTTTGATTTGGCCAGACAAACATGAGAGATTATTAGCTTGAAAACTACATGATAAGTTTCAGATGTTACATTAAGCAATCATTAATGAATTTCTTTTTTTTGCATAGATTTGCAACTTTAGGTGGCAAAGCATCAGAAAGTTGTTTGGTGTGGACCTTGGGCCAATGCTGTCATCAGTCCTTACTTTTTACTTTCCACACACCTACTAGCGGGAAGTATTGTATAATGAAAACCACTCAAACTTCTTTATAATGACATTTTTTTTTGGCAGCAGTATATTAAAACTCTTCATTGGTCAATACTTAGAGCAGGGAAGAAACTAGCATTAGTGTTATGAAATGTTTGTAGCTAGTTCAGAGGGATTAACTTGTGCCGAACATAATTATTTATGACAACACTACATGGGATGTGCATAGTCAACCAACTTGATGCCATTTTTTTTTTGACAACTGAATGGTAAAAACATGACTAACACATAATTTTGGCCAAATTGTGCTATGTGTCACATACTAATAATCATAATGAATAATGAACAGTCTGCATGAAACCATTGAGAGAAAGATGCCTTATCTTCCACAGAGGGGACATGGATTGGCTACAAAGAACTTGAAATCTAACCACATTTTTTTTGGGTGACATAACAGCCAAGATAACATAAGCCATCAAAAACTGAACCATTTGCAAATGACCTATCTCAAATTTCAGAGAAATTGGCATAATCATACCTTTAAATAATAAAAAAATGTTGATTCCTAACATAAAAATAGTCTTTTTTTAATATTAATATCATTCAAAAATATTCACTATAAAGCATTTACATACAGCAAGGTGAGAAAAGAAGTTAGAGCACATAAGTTTTTTTATTGACAGAATTTTGTAAAACTTAAAATGTGCAACTATTTACAAACTCCAATTTTCTGATATAATTAGTCAATATGTATATCTGATTGTATCAAAAACTAAACCCACAAAGTTTACTAAATGTTAAAATTTTACATAATACCTAAGTACATCATTGTAACATCAGTAAGTGCTGATAAATAATTGTTTGATTTGTACATTGTTATCTATATAAAGATGGCTCAAGTTGCTAGTTAAAAGTATTGT